TTATGTAGTTGAACTAAAACCGGAAGAAAAGAAGCCAGAGCCACCCTCTATGACTATTATAATAGCTGCTTTGTTCAGTACTTATCTGAAAAATTTTACAGAGCACGTGGCATTCTGAGAACATCATGAAATATGTTCATTTATTCAGAACTTGAGAACCACTTAATGTACAATTATTTTGATTCTATAGACCTTTTATAAAATCGTTGTTAATTACTTGTATCATTCATTCAATTTTCTTTGTTCCACTGTCGTAAAGTAAATAAAAAACATTGAAGAATTGAAACAGCTACCAGATATTTTTTGTCGAGAAAAGAAGTAATAAATAATTAGACTCAATTATTAGAGAACATTTATGTAAACTGCTAGACAATTAGTCGGAAATGTCCGTAGGAGTGGATTCATTCTGTTGATACATTATCGTTCCGATTTAGTTCATCCCTAACTTCCGCCTTGACAAATTAGCTGATGCTTCTATGTACACTCTGCTGATCACCCTGACAACAAGCTTAATTGCTCTACCTCCGAATATCATTGATCTTGTCTTTCAGTAATTTAGGTAAGAAATTTAATAGAAATTCTCGATTCAATCAATATCTTATTTGTCATAGAAAACTCTTCAATCATTGTAACAGCGATTCAGTTATAAAATTAATAAATATGGAGCTTTGTAATTATTCTCAGCTTATTCATAAAATTATGATAATATTTTTAATCTCATTAATGTTAACTTCACTGCTGCCTGATCTATTTTATTAATTATAAATAGGAAATATAAAAATTTTAGAAATCTGCGGATTTTAAAAAGATGTGAGAACATAACTCTCATGTTTATTAAAAATAATCATTCTATTTGTTTTTAAATATTAATTTCTATGGAAAAAATTCAGACAAGTTTTGTCTAGTTTTTATTTGACAGAAATAAAATCAAGTAGTACAAGTCAACGGTGGCAAAGAATTTCATAACATAAAGCTTTTCCACTCATTTCTTTGAATCAGTTAAGTCTACTTTATATTTTAAAAAGAGTATAACTTTTTATTAATAATTAATACTCTTTTTAAACCATAAAATAATTCATTGAAAGAATACATTTTTATTGGGATCAATTATTCTGAATAGAATCGTCTGAGTATTGGTTTATTCTAATGTTTAATTTTTCTTATAAAATCCATGGTGTCTCAGAAAGTAATAATTAATCGAATGTCACTCGTCTTCAAACTTATCATCATCTTGAACCAAATATTAAAATACATTTTTTTGTATCGCGAAAATTTTTTTCTTAGTATAGTAAAATTTAATCAAACCAATTCCCTATGCAAATTGAAATATTAAATTTTATTTATTTTAATTAAAGAAAATTACATAGACATAAAATTTATCAATAATGAAATGTAAATGAAATACTAATATAAACTCTTCTTTACATAAATCTAAATTAATTAAGTAACTGTATAAAAAAGCTTGTCTCTTACAAGAAGGTTTATTTAAAAAGCTTCAATGTTTAAGAGATTGTTTTACTTTAAAGAATAAATTACAATCTATTAACTCATTGTTTGTTATGTCACCTGAGCATGAATAATAAAAAAATGATGATGATGATGTTGATGATGATGACGTTGATGATGAGGAAGAGAAGAAAAGTAAAGGAAGGTTTAGTGGAAAGGCGGGCCAGCCGCTACATCCGCAAGACTATTATATCCGCTCGAGCGAATCTCTATTAAAATGTGTTTACTCTGGCTTAGGGGTTGACTCAAGCCACCCCTTCGGCGTCAACCTCTCCTTCACAGTCCTCGACGCAGTCGTAGCTGTTGAAGCTTTCCCCTACTGCAGAGCCCCCTAGTGGGTCTCCTCACATATATCTAACAGAGTAGCTTGATGTACATACAAGTAATGCCTATCTAATTGTCGCGTGTATGAATAGTAAATCCCGAAGCACTCGAGGCTATGAGCCGGATCCAACCTAACACAAGAGCACAGTATATGAGCTAATCTATATTATGATAGCCCAGACTCACCCTTCGATTAAAGGGGAATAGACTTGCTGCAATCGGGAAGTCATTCCTTTATGTCTTACTATTAACTATCATGTTCATACTTTATTATTTTTTATCATTCACATAAAAATTTTATTTATTAATTACTTTTATTAATTAACTTTTATTAAAATCAATTTTATGCATTTAAAGCTCTGATTAAAATTCCAAATAGCTTTTAGCAATTCAATAATTAAATACAATTTTTATTTATTATTTTTACAAATTCTTTTTTCTTTTAGATAATTCATGCACTAAATAGCTTGACCCTTCTTTCTAGAATTTTCATTAAATGTGTCTCTTGTAATCTGTCGTTACTTTTTTCATTTTTTACTGCTAGAAGAAGAATATTTTAAATTCAAAAGCTCTAACACGATTAAAACTAAATCTGACGTATTCAAGCAAAATTTCCTTGCATAATTTATTTGTCAATGGGTTATTATTAAATGATGATAATTAATTTTAGATTTCCAATATCCTTGGTTTTAGTAAATTAATTACCTAGTTATCGAGTTATTTTGAAAGCTCACAAAACAATAGTATTAATTAACATATTGAAGATATCTGTGAATAAAAAAAAATAAATAAAGATGTTTTATATTTAAAAATAATTACTACATTATTTTGAAGGAGTAAAGAAAGAATATTCTAGAGTAAATAACGTATAAAAAGTAGAAAAAATGTTAGTTTTTATATTGCAAGTCATATAACTACTTGAAATCACAGAATTGAAATGGGAACGAATAGCTATGCAATTATTACAGACAAAAAGTTGTTTTTACACTATCACAGCCCAATTATCTTGAAGAAAGTAATGTTTACCCAAGCCTTGATGAAAGAGTAAAAAAAAAGCTCGTCATCTTGGTGTCCGATCATATCCCTCTGAATATCTAATAAGTAATCCAAAAAATTCACGTTTATTTGACGAAATCTTTTCATACTTTCCATCAATTCATGACTCTTAAAGTCTATACTGAATAAGCTGAAGGATAAGCTTGAAGAGAACGCGAGAAAGTAAGTGAGGTGGAGTTACAGAAGACGAGGTAGAAGAGAAAAGGGGTGAGGTACTTTAGGTTGAATAATTAAAGCTCTCATTAGGGCGACAAAAGCACCCTGATGGATAGCTGCTTGGCCCAACTGGATGTCGTTGGAAACCGTCACCCCCATCCCCAAACATGGTCTTCAGCATCTCGTCTCGTTAAGGTTGCTAGTCCAGCTTGATATACGTGCTTTTGGTGTGCAAACAACCGTTCTATTCACTTGGATACAGAGTGGGGCTCCAAGAGCCTATAGTGGTTGGTATATGGGGTGGTCTAAAGGACACATACAGTCTAACTAAAAAACATCCTAATGATTTTGAATACTTGGTATTTTTCTATCTATTGCCTTGTGACCTTTTTCTTTAACTACCTTTTGAAATCAACTCTTGATAAAGACCTGACTAACATTTTATTTATCAAGTTCATTTTTTAATAAAAAATTTTCTAAAATATTTTTCTCTGTAAATTAATGATTACATTAGTAAAATTGGTTTTTCTATGAAAGCTTTTTGGTTTCAAACAATTTGCGTTAATAAAAACTATAGGAATTTGTAGAACAAAAGAAAATGAAGACGTATGTATGTATGTATGAGTGAGTAAATAAAAAAATTATCGTTAGCGAAATATTATTCAGGTAATAATGAGAAGGAAAAAAAAATGAAAAATCAGACTGTTTTTTGATGGATACTGTGAAGAAGTTGACAAAAAAAAAAGTTTGCGTGGGCTATTGTTTTATTTCTGATGTTCTTTCATTTCTTAAAAGGTTCTCCGATGATAATTAGCACAATGCACGACGGCATTAATTATTACTTGTGCTAATTACCAGAAGATAAATCGCCAAGCGGACACCACTGGCGGAAGGGGCTTCCTACCTAACCTCCAACAGTTCTAGAGTGGCTACCAACCATTACCGTTATTGCGGCAACAGTCCAACAACAGCAATAAATATGCGAGAGTTACAAATGGACATAGAGCAAGACAGAAAATCACAACTGATGCTCTATGGTATTATTTCGTGAAAGTAAAGTTGATGGTGGATAAAACAATCCGTTAAACTTAACTAGACTATCAATGAGACATTATTCATTTTTGTTTTGCACACATTTCAGGAATATCTATAACTCGAGCTTTTTTTTTAAAGTAATTAAGCTAATTGTTGCATTTAATTTTTCTGAAAGCAGGCAATTAATTTGTTGGTTTAATTTTCCAAATTTAATCATAAATTTATTGGATGTTATTGGAAAATTGCTGAGGTGTGTGATAATTTGAAGAATAATTAAACTGGATGGAAGTTGACAATGATTGTAATAAAGAGAAAGAGAAAGAATCCTTGCAAATGTGTGGTATATTGGGTCATGTCACTCAAACAGAATTACTTCCGTCCGCCCGTATGACAAGAAGATCGCTTGATTCAATTCTCGCAGAGATCCAAAACCATCCGGTGCTGTGATAACAAACCTGATAATTAGAATTTTCACGACAGTTTTATTTTTTAGCACATCTAGAATATTTACAAACTTTTATTTAATTTATTTCAAATAAACAGATAACGATTATATTTTAAATTGAAATGTTTCAACATAAATAAATTATTTGAATAAATTAATTAAATTAAAAACAAAAATTTTGAAATGTCAATTCAGTTATAAAATGACTCAAAGAATGTTTTTCATGTGAATTTGTCAATATCTTATCAACTCAAGTGACAATAGATCAGTTTAATGCTGAAGAAGATGGAAATTATCAAAGAAACAGTGACCTTTCATGGAAAATCTACGAGATTGAACGAAATGCATACGCAAGATTTTGATATATGCGGTAAGCATCAGGTCAGGGAATTACACAGCTACAGGTCAAAGGCTGTGTTTCTTGATAAGAAATTCATTGAAGCGACAAGGGTCCATCTCACTACTCAAAGCGCCTAGATTTATCCGGACTTCTATGACGTAAGAATCACAGTGATTAAATGGACTTCTCATATCACAGTTCTCACTGACATCGTTGTTTATTGTACTTAAAAGTGTTTTGTTAGAAAAATTTGATAAATCTACTCTCTATTGCCCAGTTACGAACAAAAGCATTCCTTATAATTTAAAGTGCTAAATAAATTAAATAATAAAATAAAATAGTGTGAAAACAAAATTATATAGCGTAAGTGGTTTATTCTAGATAATTCTGCCTCATACTTTAGTTAATTGTTAAATAAATATTTACTCTGAAGATTTGATGAAAAATTGCTTCGTTAAACTGCAGCTAAATTTTTCAAACATTGTTTATATTATTTATTGATATTTAATAACAGTAAATTATCTATTTAAAAAATCATTTTTGCATGAACAAAGAAATTTATTTATCAATAAATTATCGGCATGTGGTACAGTGATAAAAAATAAATTCATTACTAATCAACAGTCGATAAAACAAATTTCTTGATTTAAAAGTAGCGACATTCGATAGTAGGAAATCACTTTCAACTTATTGGTTCTTCGGTAAATGTTTCTTCTAACGATATAATAGTGAATAGGAAAATAAGAGAGGATACTTCCCTGAAGATACTAATCCGGGTCAGTTATCTCAGAAACAGGTCTGCCCCACTACTCCAAGAATCTTTAGTTTTTCCAGTTTGACATGTTCTTTTTTTTGTAGTTTTTTGACCCTAAATTCCAATCGTTCTCTTGCCCATTTCCTCTAGGATCTTTTATTATGAAAAAAAATGAAAATATTGCAGCTTTGTTCTATCCAGTAACTTTGGAAAAAAGAAAAATGGAAAGAAATGAGCACGAGTCAATAAACCGTATAATTGTATCGCTTAAAGATGTCCCCCACTGTTGGCAAGAGAAATAGCAATAAGTGTACTTGAAGAAGGGGAACGATAACGTGTCTTGAAGAGTAGTAGTTGGATTGTCTGTCTAATTATTTGTGTTTATTTAAATAGAAGTTGTGGATGGGAAAGTGCTGAAGGGCTACTATATCAGAAGTTTGAAGGTTTGTGTTATCAAATAGTCTACAATCTTATCTAGTAGTATTTTCAAGTTTGTCACGCAAGAAATTAAAGTGGAGTTGACACGCTAAAGAATAGGATGGCTGGCCACCGAAGGCCTGTCTTCCTTCTTGTTTTTTCTTTCTGTCTTCTTATCTTTTTCGGTAAGTTTATGTTTTTACTAACTCTTTAATTATATTTAATTATATCACTTATCCTTCTTATCCATAATAATTTACTATTTTTTCTTTAATTTCATTATTTTATCATTCAAATAAAATGGAGAATTTAAATTCTATAAAGAGCGGTACTTGATAACGTTTCTTTTGTTTTTATTTTTAACTTCATCGCATGCTCATTTAATAATATATATTTTCAATATTCCTCACATTTTTCCTTCGATACTATTAAACTTGTTCTTTTAATTTAAATTATTCGTTATAATTTTTATTTTATTATATCTGATGTACTTTTTTGATCTTCTGTAAATTAAATTTCAATTTAAATCTTTCCATAGTTGATGATCAAACTTCCTGTCTTTCAATTTAATTCGACCAAATTCACTTTCAAAACATTAATTCTGCCAACAGGTCATTAAATAATTCTCATGTCATTTTTAATTAGTTCTTGTTGAATCACAAAATAACTTTCTTCATATTTTAATTTCTTTTTAATGTATTTGGATAACACCCAAATTATTAACTTTAAAAACTAATAGCATTTCTTATTTATATCCAATATAAAATATGACTGAAGTACTGATAATTAATTTTTTTGTTTTAGGTCTCCATTGCCAGTCAGCACCAGGTAAATCATTTATTTAATAAAAAATTATTTATTTTTATTTTTATATCTCGAAACAGTGTATTGCAAAGTGAACTTTAAAACTAGAACTCGTAACAATAGAAATCATTATGAGTCTCTGTGAATTTATATATAAATAAAAATCTGTTTTTCATAATAATAAAACTATAAAAAATTCAAAAACCAGTTATATAATGACGAAGATTGAATTACTATAATTTCCTTATAATAATTGTTATTGATAAGAATATAATGAGTGTATAACATAGATCAGCTCACAGTAATATTGCCTACAGTTGATTTCTGAAAAGTATAAATATTACATAAAAATAATTTTTAATAATGTTTACTTCTTTTATTCTTCTTTATCTCTCTACTGTCTAAGTTTGTTAAAAAATTTTTCAATCTTTTTTTTCATATTTTTAACATTGTTTACATTTTTGAGACCGCTTTTATTGAATTACTGTGCATTCAATTCTCATCAGAAAATTTATCTTTTCATAAACCCGATGCCAAACTCATTCGTGAATAATTTTGTTGAATCATAAATAATTATAAAAGAGTCAAACAAATTTTTTTTTGTTTGGTTGTTTAGTTAAAAAAAATCGTTAATAATATGCTGAAGAATATTAAATAGTAGACCTAAATGTCAATCTTATTTTACGAAAAAATATATTGGATACTCTATGGACTCCCTGTTTGAAAACGGATGCTATTAAATTTTCTCACGCATTCTCACAGTGTCTAACACACAGATACTTCATTCGTTTGTGTTGCTCTCTTCATGAATTCGACCACATTGTCGTCTCGCCTGACGGACGGTCTGTTAGTCGACTCTCAACTCTCGGCCAGTTGTCTTCTTTTATCTAAGTTTATTCTCAAACTCTTGACCATCACAAATTATTTTTCCCCAAATTCAATACTAAAATTCTCCACTTCCTTCGTCTAAATTCATTTTCAATTAATAATTATCATCTCTAATTGGCATATTATTAACAATATATTTATAAACCGCGCGAATTTATTCAAAATGTGGAGGTTAAAGTGCGCATGGATTTTAACAATAATTATAGCTGTAGTGGGAGCAACTGGAGGATGGAGTATCGGTGATGGCCTAAAGTATCAGCTGATGACGACTATCTTGTCTCGAGAATCAGGAGCTTCAAAACCTGGTGGTGACGTTGGCTTTCAATTGACTGGAGAACTTATTGTTTCTGCAATTTGGCAAGATCCTCAGGATACTAAGACTGTTCTGCTAAGTGTTGAGGTAAATTATTCATTTTTTTTAATTGCTCAAATTTTCTTAGATGCATTTATTTTTCAATTTATGAATTAGTAATTGATAATGATAATAATAACAGCAATAAGATCAATAGTAATAATTATTATTATATCATTAGATCATTATTATAATTGCATATTGAGTATAAATTTACATTGGAATATTTATAGGAGATTATTTATTAGAATAAAGTAATTAGTACTTTTAATTTTAGAATGATCATAATGTCTATTAATTATTGCCCACTGTTTTTGTAGGTATGTTGTGAAAAAAAATTCAAAGTTATTAACCGTTAAATAAAAATAACATACCAACAGTGTGCAATGGAACATAAGGTCATACTTCCCCTTAAACTCAAACTAATACAGATAACCTTCGGTTAACGATAAGTTCTAAAACTCACAAACGTCCTTTGTTTTTTTTTCTCTTCTTTAAATATTCCCATATTTGTACATGTTTTGTCATTATTTTTAGTCTTCATTGTTTAAATTATTTTTTAAATATTTAAAATTGAAAAAAAATTTACGATAAGGAAATATACTATAACATTTTCAGTCATGATAAATATTGTTATATAATGCATAAGTTAAAATCTATCTAGAGAGTAATAACAGAGATTTATGTTTTAAAAGAATTCTTATATAAACTAACTATCATAAAAATAGTTTAAACATATTTCAAACAAATTTCTGGTTTTTTTTATAGTTGAAATCGCCTCAATTGTGGATTAAATCACGGAGAGCTCCAGAACCTGAAGGATTCATCGAGCATTCATCAAAACTAGATCAAATATCTGAATCCCCTATTCTCCTTCTTTGGAAAAAAGGCGAAATATTAAAAGTATTCTTAGGAAATGATGAAACTATTTCATCTGGAAATTTAAAACGTGGACTTGCAAGTCTTTTCCAATATCAAGATAGAGATGGAGAATTCAGAGAACATGATGCATCTGGAGGTTGTAATGTCACGTACACCGTTATGGATGCTAATAGAATTCTCAAAACGAAAAAATTCTGTGATGAAATTAATTTATCAGAAAAGAATGAACATCCGAATCCAATTCTTGGAGTTAATTTACAAAGTACAAGGATCACAGATTATGAGCTGAATTCTCAACTTCTTCCAATTTTTATTGATGAAATTGAACAACATGAGGTTACTTTAAAAGTTAAGCCTGAAGCAGGAACAACTGTTTCATCTCAGAGAATTATCAAAGAAATTCCAGGTCACGTAAATGTGAAAAAAATCAATGCAAATAATCTTAAAGATGCTTTAGCTCGTTTCCAACCTGGATATAGAGAAGCTAAAATAGATCTTCAAGTAGAAAAAATCACCTGTTCTGATTCAGGCTGTCTAACAGTAAGTAAAATGTGGTTAATTTTAAAAACAGCTCAAACTAAAAATAATATAATATTAACTCTCTTTTTTTTTATTACAGTTGGAAAAAGTAATTGAAGAAAATCGAGACGCTTTAGAAAACTCAGCCTTAGGTACTGCCAAGTCAGCAGCAGCATTTTTAAAACTCATTCCTATTGTCAGAGAAACACCTGTTGAAGAACTAACGAGAATTCTAAAAAGTCCACGTTATAAAACACTCAAAACTCAAATTCTGGATGTCTTAGGATCCGCAGCAACCCCATCAATTCATCAAGTAGCTATGAAAGTCTTAAGAAATGATGATATTGGTGATGACACGGAAAGATATCTTTGGGCTTTATCAGTATCACCTTTACCTCATGCAGATATTATAAAAGATGTGTTAAGCCGCTCTGAAGAAACTTTGCAGAATGATCGAGTATCAGAAACTTTAGCATTGACCGCTGGAGCAATGGCTCGTCAATTAGGATCACCAGTGGTTAAGGAAAAAGTACGTGTTAGTCTTGAAATTGGATTGGATACATGTACCAGTGATGAGTGTCGTTTAAAGTTCCTCAGAGCTTTACGAAATCTCAGAAGTAAAGCATCGATTCCAGTTCTCATGGACTTTGCCATGAATGGTACTAAATCAACTAGTATTGCAGCTTGGCGTGCACTTGGATCAATGGACCCTAAATACATAACTGATGATCTCAAGATTGCTGCGAAACGAATCTTTTATCAAATTGGTGGACCAAAAAAAGATAGCACTGTTAGAACACTAGCAGCAGATATTGTTTTAAATAATGACCCTTCTGCTGAAGATATACGAGAATTTTTTGAATACCTTAGCACCAAGGATACTATGTATGAAGTCAAAAGATATATTAGCCAAAGGCTAGAACAGTTAGCTGAAAAAGATCCTATCTTTAATGAACGACTTAACTTGGCAATAGAAGCTGAAGATAAAAAACTTCGAAATTATCACGTTTTGGCACATAGAGGACTCAGTACTGCATTTTCCAGGCCATTTTTAAAATCTACAGCATCAAATGGGTCTTTAGTAACAGTTCAGGAAGTCAATTCCGGTCTTTTAAAACGAGGAGTTGTTGACGTAGTGATTCAAACAGGTTCTCACGAAGAGGCTTTGTTTTCTCTTGGACTTTTTGCTGGTGGTCTAGGGAGCTTAGTTTCGTCTTCTGACAGCGAAGAGAAATCTTCAGAGCCTGAAGAGTATGAATTAGCTACTGCTGGTATGGAAATAGATCTACTTGGAGTTGGAATAAGGCCTTTTGTATTTTTCACTGGTCAAGGTGAATTAATGGGACATGTGTGGTCTGGTACAGCTTCAGAAAGAACTCCTGCATTCCAAGCTATCGTCAATCTTCATCGTCATAGAGAATTAGTTCCTCTAGCATCTGGTTTTATTGCGGAAATTGACGTGGAAGGTGCTGTTAGTTTTGATCTAGCTGGCCAAATTCAACTTAGTTTATGGTCCAGGAATGCTCAGTCTCTTGTAGAAATGGGTGCCGGTGTTGCGGTACGTGGAGGATTTAAAATTAAATCAGATTATGTACAATCAAATGCTGAATTTGCATTATCTGTTGAACCTAAATTGGAGCTTTCAACAGATGTTGACTTTTCTGGTCCTACTGTTATCTGTATGAGGCTTATGCAACCAGAAACTTCTGTTAAACATCAGATATATAAGATTGAAAGAATACCTGGTAGTAAACATCGATTAAGGAAAACTAAAAGGACTGTTGTGCCATCACCTGCGAGATCTTATTTGCTCAATAGAAAAAATAATGAAATGTGCTCAAAGGTGTTTAGTTAGTGATATAAGTAGATTTTGGAATTTAAAACTTTTCAAATAAATTTATCTGCAGTCAGTTAACTGTGGACTATATTATTAATTAAGTAGCATAATGACAATTTAGTGTAAAATGGACAATGATAAATTTTATTCTGTGCATTTTTATACCAAATATTTATCAAGTACCATTACAAAATAAAATAACGTCATAAATGTATTCATTGTTGCTAAAGAATTTATTTTAACGATTTCAATAGTCAGAAAAAAGTTATAAAACTTTTTATTTTTTTAAGAAAAAAAAATCCCCAAAAATTAATAAAGATTAATAATATTTCATGAAATGAAAATCAAAAATTTTCATTTAAAAATAATAGAGAAATTTATTTATCGTTTAAATAATAAACAAGATTTTCTGAATAGTTTTCATATACCATTTTGATTCATTTATATAAACAGATAATTTGTTTCAAATGTATTTTTGTACCAAAAATATATTGAGTTATGTTTCAAGTTAAAACAGGCCACTGTACCAATCAATTTATAATTATATTAATAAAACAAGCAGCAAAATTCAAACATATCAAAAATTTATTTATTTATTTCAATTTATTTATATTGAATTTAATTTATAAATTGAATGTCATATTTGTGTTTTGTGTTATATACAAGTAAAAATGAGTTTATGTATGAAAAAATAAATCGCTTCAAGCGTTTTACATCAAACGTTAAAAGAATAATGATTTCTGAATAAATTATAACACAATAATACACACAATAGTTACTGATCATCACTTAAATATTACACAAAGTTCATCGACATCCACATTCCACCACGACCATATCCTCATACCCATATTGATAAGTAAGAGTACCACTAGAGTCTAAATAAAGCAAACTTGTGGGTGCTAATCGTGTAGGAACACAGCAGACACGGCCAACAGATTTGCCATCAACACCCTGAAGAGCTCCATGAACTAATGCTTGAACAATCGCGTGTTTTGTTGGACTCAAATGATCACCGAACGGAAAAAGACACTTTCCAACACACTGATAAGCATCATATCCAGGTGGAGCAACTACCCATTCATCATAATTAATAGTAGCAAAATCCACATATAACGGACGTTTTCTGCAAGGATTTCGTCTTCTTCTCTTGCTTTCAGGCCAAGTGGGGCTTGAATTCTCATCAGCTTCTTCATCGACAACTGAACGTTTTTTTCTTTTGACTGGTTTTCGATAACTCAGTAGAAGTATTGGACTTTCACTTTCAGGCCGTCCTTTGACCTTTCCACGAACTAAAAACTTGATAAAGTTTCTTTTGCTCATTTTGACAGCTATTGTTACATTAAATGCACGCCAAGATTCTTCTCTTCTAGAAAAAACAAATTCTTGTTTTTCTTCTTGAACTATATTAAAATTATCAATGAATTTCACTCTTAGAATCATTCCAGCAGTTCCTAGAAGCTCAGCTGCTTCAAGATTTTCCTCAGGATTTGCTGGAGGCATTTGAAACTCTAGAATTCTTCCTCCACCTTTGTATTGTATTGGTGCTGATATGTGAAAAGGTTTAAGTGCTCTAACAATATCTGCTATTGGACGACGATGATAGAGCTGAATCATGTATCTGGAAATTGAGCTATGATGTTTTTTTTTACGAAATCTTGGAGATTTTTGATTGGTGATATTAATAAATCTCTGATTAATTATCGCAGTAGTTGGTAGAGTCAAATCTACTTGAATGGAAGCCTTTGTTAGAACTGGATTTTCCCAGATGATAAATGTTCTCCAAACACACAAAATTCCAAAAACTCCAATGAGACTAAGAATCCAAAATTGTAATAATCCTCCCATGACACCAATTCGTTTGTTTTATATTATTTTTTTCTTTTAAATTATTTAGTACATTATTAAAAAAGTTTCTGCTTAACTTTTTTACAGTCCAGAACGAAAGGCTAACTTTGAACGACTGACAAGTGATCTGAAGACCAATATCTTTAGCTACTTCTTCAAGTTAGGATGTAAATAGAAACTCATTGACCATGGAATTTCATGATAAGTTAATATAAGAATGTTTGATGCTGTTCAATTTAAATACAATTTTCTTGTGTTTAAAAATCTTTAGTTCAGTAAATTTGATATTTTTATGAAATCGATTTAATTTCATTCCTAAATCTATTGAATTATATGTTTTATTAAAATTCTTCGAAATAGTTAATAATTGGTTCTAGATTCAAAAAAATGTTTCTCAATATTATAATTATTCCTTTATTACAGTGTTGGTAATATAATTAATAGTTTATAGCTGTATTGATTTCAATTTAATGGTGTGTTTTATTTAAATTTCTAAAACAAGTTAAAAATTATCTACGTTTCATTAAAGAATTCTACTTTTAAAATGTCAATCCCTATTTAGAATAATATTTAACTTTCTGTGAGAAATCAATAGTCAATTGTGAAGTTGTCATTGAACTGAACAGTCATATCATATTAAACCTAATTGACAATTCCTGACCACTCTCAATATTTTTTATTTGAATCAAGGTATTTTAATTTCTAGTTTCTGTCTTTTATTTTTTTAAAATAATTCTGAAACAAATAATTATTAAAATACTCAAGTTAAATAAGTATCTATTTATGATTTAATTAGATCTTTTTTAAGATTTGTAATCAAATGTAAGTTTATTTATTGTTATAAACAATTGTGTAGAATATTTTTTTATCGTGAATCGGTAGTTTATCAGTAGTCAGTTATTTCAAAGGTAAGACATCGACAGTAAATACTGCTTCTAACTCTATCTGCAGCAGTAGGAGTTTAAAACACCCCGAATGTGAATGGGGGTGAACAGGGTGAATCGATTCACTGCACTTGACGTCACTACCGCAGATTCCCCCATCACAGTAGTCCGTAATGTGGATAAGAGCTAGTGTTATGCCGTAATTTTTATTCGTTTATTTTCATATCTTTTTGCTTCCAGAACACCTTTGTTAAACAGTGTTTAAGAAGTTATTATTGCATACATAAATAGTTTGCAACTGATCAATTAATCATTCAAAACCCTTTAGTTGTTCCTGCTAGAAGTTATCTAATTCAAGTACCAAGTTAAAAGTAAGTATTGAAATATTTCTCCAACTTTGATAAACAACTTTCTTCACTTACATTTTTATCATATAGAAATTTTTCTTTTCAATACAAATAGATGTTTATTTTCTTTTTATATCAACTATATAGGATTATTGATTCTCTAATTTAATAAATATTGTGTAGTATTCAGTCAATCATGATTGTGATTCATAGTGAATGATAATTAACATTATTCCATGAACTTCAGTGTTCCAGGGTTCATTAGAAGAATATCTCCCATATCTTGGTGGAGCAGGTGCTTTAGTTTTGACCGGGCTTGCAGCTTATTATGCGACGAAGCCTACTGCAGAAACACCTCTGGTGCCTCTCGATTGTCAATCGAGGCTACTTCCGGTGAGCGAGAGTAACCTTCGAAGAAAGTATCGCGTGCATAGATGGACCTTCTTATTGAGTAGAATTTTATGGTAATTTCACAATAGAGATTCTCTTGAATATATTCCTCCTCAACAGTTATCAAGAGTTAATCCTCCAGTTCTTTTCTACTTCTCACATCAAATGTTTCTTTACCCCTCTACATATAAATAATAATTATCGTATAAGACCATGGTCTTGAAGAAATAATTTACAACTTTTTCTTCCATCCAACCACTCATTGAATGACTGGATGAAAATTAAGTATCAAATGATTGTTAGTTTTTTTTAGAGAAAATTTGTTAAATGCGAAAACTTGTGGTGCTGGACAATGTTTTCTTTAATTAATTACATTGAAAAATAAAAATTCTTTCTTCATTTCTCTTGACAACAATAGTGCTTTCTCCCTCTGCTTCCTTAACGACTGTCAAGAGTCATCACCATGAAGTGGCTAGTGATTATCACTTAAGTTCTCCGTCAGATTTCATGTTTATCAACATCCTGGCTAGCATCCAAGCATGCTAGCCAAGCTAGGGATACTCTTACCCTCGTCTACTATATTTAAATCTTACGATAGACGAGGGAGAGTAAGATCAAGAATGGCTCAGAAGAAGATGAGCTTGCGCGTGCCATGACTTGACTATTCTTCTCCGTCTTCTCTTTTCCTTGTTCTTCGTATTCTTCTTCTTCTTTAAAATGTGATCTTAAAACGCGAGGACACGAGAATTCAGCATCTCATCACGAGTTCACGTTCTAAGGCCAAAGAGTCATTACGCATCTTTCAGTTTTTGTTTCATAAGTTCGCTAGTGTTGTATTCGTCATGTGTCGGTGTTCGTTTGAATAAATCATTATGCTCGTGTTTTATAACTAATTCCATGTTCACTTGATGTAAAAAAAAGAAAATATTTCAGTTGTTAGAAATATCCATATTTTTGCGCGTTCGCGCGCATTAATAGACAATTATTTAAACATAATTTTTTTTTGATAAAATATTTTGTTTAATTTGCAGTTATTGTTCTTCTTTGTTATAGAAATATAAAAGATATCGAGTTTTAGTGGTAGTTGTTTGATTTCATTGGAAATTAATTGAGTGAAAGAGTGAATTTAAAACAGCTATGCCCTGCTGTGGCGGTCTCCAACCAAGTGTTCGCGTTCCGATCGATTTGAACGATCAATCTGATAGCATTAAGGTGTTTATTTGCAGTCAACTACTCAACAATTCTCTATTCTACTCTCTATTATTAATATACTCGTGTTGAATTTTTGCAAAAATTATATAATGATGAGTTTATTTGATATTTGTACTGCACATAATTAGCTACTTTGTTTGAAAGAGTAATTTTGCTAACTTCAATAGTGTGTAGTGGTGATATTTACACTATTTTTATTTATTACTCATCATTATCGAAAACATGATGATGATGATGAGTAATTATAAATCAACTCGCGTTTTAATTTTATTTATAAAATTATTGAATTTTGTGTTTTATTAATTTTTGTTTTCATTTATATTTTTTATGGCAAAATTTTTAGGTGCAATTAAATAAATTATTTTATTTTATCAGTAAGAGAGAAATTTAGAAACTTCAAAATTAATTTCAATTTATTTTTTGCAATTAATTTTTGAATGATTCGTTAGACGATAAAATTAGTGCAAATTGTTATTTATTTTTAGTATTTATAAATATTTTTTTAATTGATGAAATTTGATAGCATTTAACGATCTAAAGTGTTAAAATAGGTATTAAGTCATTATATAACATGAACGAGATGGAATTAACGAGAAAATATATTCAACCATTCAATCATCTGTCATTTTAATCCGTCTTTTATAGGGTGCTGAGTACATAAGAGTGTCAAAGTTTTACAAAGACAGCAAAGAAGGAAAATTTGTGAGTTATCTTCATGATGATGTCAGGACTTTATATGAATCTTTTCGAAGAGGCGCTAAAGAATCTAGTAAGTTTTTTTTATTGAAATTTAATTTAATAACTAATTTATTTTTCTTATAATTTTATTTCTTATTTCATTTGTTGAAAAATCATTTTCAAGTTTTAATTAAGACTTTTCTTCAATTTATCAGCTAACATGTGTTAGCTTGAGTCATTTAGTCAACATAATAGCAACATTTTACTTGTTTTTGATGGCATTTCAGTCTTACAAATATTTGAGTGTGCAATAAACTTAAAATTTAGTGTATATTAGCAATAGAAAAATTAATGATGCTTGAACTAAAGTTGGCATGATGAATGTATTAGTGTCCCTGAAGAAATATCTTCCGTATCTCTATTTGTAAATAACTAACTTATTATAAATATATACTATAAGCAAAAAAATTTTATTTTTTTCTTTTAAATATTCACTTCATTCTATTTTGACATTCACTAATGTAATCTGTCAAAAAAAACACAAACGTAATTTATGTTTTCATATGACACATTTTTAATATATAATTCTTTTTAAAAATGATATAATCTAATTTCATGAATGAATTTTATAATTACTTTAAGATAATGGACCTTGCATTGGATGGAGAGATGGACCTACCAAGCCTTACCAATGGTTGAATTACAATGAAACCCTACTACGAGCAAAAAACTTAGGATCAGGATTGATATCATGTGGATTAATACCTGGAACTCAGACTCTTGTAGGGCTTTATAGCCAAAATTGTCCTGAATGGGTTCTTACAGAACAAGCCTGTTACAATTATTCCCTAGTGGTTGTTCCACTTTATGACACTCTTGGACCTGATGCTTGTGCCTATATCATCAATCAGGCTGATATCAGTCTCGTTGTTTGTGAAGATGATAAAAAATGTAATCTTTTATTGGATAAAGCTCCTAGGTAATGTGAATAATTGCTAGATAATAACAATACATCACGAATTTGGTTGAAAAAATTTCAAATATTTATTATTGTATTATTTAGATGTTTAAGAAAATTAATTGTAATAAAAGAAACAAAATCATCAACAAATCAAAGAGCTAAAAATAGAGGGATAGAACTCTTGAGGTTTGAAGATGTTGAACGACTTGGAGCTCAAAAGAATCATCCTGAAGTACCACCAAAGCCTACGGATCTTTGCACAATTTGTTACACATCAGGAACAACTGGACATCCAAAAGGGGTGATGTTAAGTCATCAGAATGTTATGGCTGGAGTTAGTGCTGTTTTACTACAGTTAGGAGATCACAAACCTAATGCAAAGGATGTTATGATCAGCTTTCTCCCCTTGGCCCATATGTTGGAGAGGTGTTGTGAAAATGGAATGTACATAGTTGGAGGATCTGTTGGATTTTATGGAGGAGATATTAAAAAGCTTTCTGATGATATGAAAGCTTTGCGGCCTACTGTTATGCCTGCTGTTCCCAGGCTACTTAATCGTCTTTATGATAGGGTAAATATTTATTTCAATTAAGACTAATAATTTTGATTTTAATTCAATTGGTACATTTTTATTATTAATGCTATGAATGGATGATTGATAAATAACAGAAAGGAAATGTATAACGTCATAAAAAACCTCGGCCGAATTTTTAAAACGATCGTGAAATGACCTTCCGGTTCATTGTCGATGCTACGCAATAAAGTGACCAGGTGCCAAAGTTGGAATTTAAGACGAAATCCATGTGGATATATTAAAAATAATGATAACAAAAAAAATAAGATTACTATTTTCATCATAATTAATAATACAGAATGAATGATATTTATAGATTAAAAATTTTTTTAAGACTCTACTATTTTTATTATTAAGATTTATAAATAATAATAAACATAGTTTATTTATTTACAAGCTGATGATTGACTCAGTTTAAAGGAATGAATATGAGTAATTTTCATAAAGAGACCAATTTTATTTCTGAAAAATATCATTTCATATCTTCATGATTTTAATGGAATCAATTTTAAATGTCAATAAAATCATTTATAATATAAACATTAATCTGGAAGTAACGTTGAAAATAAACATTGGCTATAGTGTGTAAGAATGTTGCCTAAAGTCTAATGCAATGCCATCACGAGGTCATTCCTTCGCACTAAAAATATCTTATAATAGATACACGTTAAGAATTAACCGTCTTTTCTATTGACAACAGGTGCAAGCTGAGCTCCAGTCTTCGTTTTTTAAAAGAATGGTGTTCAATATGGGTATAAGGGCAAAGGAGAGCGAAATTAAAAAATGCATCATAAGAGGCAACAGCTTTTGGGATAAAGTTGCTTTCAAAAAAATTAGAGAATCTATGGGTGGAAGGTTAAGGTTAATGGTCGTAGGTTCAGCACCACTTGCAGGCAATGTTCTAACTTTTGCTCGATGCACTCTGGGCTGTCTTATCGTTGAAGGCTATGGACAGACCGAATGCTGTGCTCCTATTACTCTAACTGTTCAGGTATTTTGAATAAAAACAATCTACTTATTATTTTATTTGATATCTCATGACAAGAGTGATTATTTAAATTCATTAGGAACTTTTATTTTATATTTAATGGTAGTCATGTTAACTTTTTTTTATCATCACAGAAAATAATTCTTAATTAGAAAAACATGTCAAGCGAGAAGAGACTTGTGGGTATTTAGAAAGTTTGATGATTAAGATGAATAAGGTGGGATTAGTATTCTTGAAGCTTTACATACAGTCTTTGTTGTCAGAAGCTTTTTGAGCCTCTTAATTCATTCGACTGATTTTCACTGAATGAACCTACCTCAAGTTATAACGGGCTCTATACAAGCTCAGAACTAAATTAGAGTATGACGTTTTATATATAGATATAAGATATAATTAGTCTTGGGGGCGATGCTGTTAAGAAATATCAAAGTGCACTAATTATTATTTGCAAAAGATTAATGATTCAAAATTATTTCAAATATTCTGAGATAATTTATCATCTTTTTTTCTTTTATTTTTATATATATGTTGGAAAATATTTTCAATCAGCTCAAGAGCTTAGAAAGTATATTGCAGATTTTATTGATGTAAATAATTGATGTCAATAATTCTGCTAGAGTTACTCTAAAGTGAAATTGCTTTCAACTTTTTCTGATTTATTTTCCTTGGCATGGCAAATTGCAATAATGCAGTTTGATTGATAATAAACTTTCTGCAAAGTAAACCGCAAAATTCTTCATTTCATCGCCGCAAAAGTTAAATAAATAAAACATTAAATATTACATACTTTGATCCAACAGTTGTTAAACTATTTTCAGATCATTATCTATTTTGAGAATACTCAAGAATAAACAGTCGTAAAAAAAATTCATCATTTTAAAATTCTTGAAAATGTAACTTTTTTAAAATTTATTCTTACATTAAATGATTGAATTCTTTTCACAAAAAATATGACTAAAATAAAATCTCTTTAATATTACGAAAAGAATATTTTAATAATATCATCATCAATTATTTACATCCTCGTGACATTTTTTAATGACTTATGTAATTAATTTGATGGATGTTAAGAGAGTTAAAAATCACAAGATCAGTCTATAAAAAAATTTAGCTGATCAATTAAATGACAAACTCAGTGATAGGTCACATTACAAGTAAATTTATTTTTAGATGTAATAGACTGCTTAGCAGACAATAAAAGAGACTAACGAAAAATAATCTTACTCATCAGGGTGACTATATACCAGAGCACGTGGGACCTCCTGTAGCATGTTGTTGCGTCAAATTAGTGGATGTACCTGAAATGGAGTATTGGGCAGCTAACAATCAAGGAGAAGTCTGTGTTAAAGGCACTAATGTATTCTATGGTTATTATAAAAATCCAGAAAAAACTGCTGAAGTTATTGATGAACAGGGATGGCATCATACTGGAGATGTTGGAATGTGGCTTCCAGTAAGTTTAAAATTTTTTTTTCATAATTAAATATGAAATGAATATTTTTTAATGAAAGTTGGTTTACGATAATGAACTTTTTTATTGTAGAATGGAGTTTTAAAAATCATAGATAGGAAGAAACATATCTTTAAACTTTCTCAAGGAGAATACATTGTTCCAGAGAAAATTGAAAATATTTACATAAGAAGTCAATACGTCCATCAAGTTTTCGTTCATGGGGAATCTCTTAAATCATGCGTTGTTGCAATTGTTGTGCCCGATGTCGACGTCGTTAAATGCTGGGCTTTAGAAAATAAAATTCCCGGTACCTTAAGTGTCCTTTGTGCAAATCCAGAAGTTAAAAAACTCATTCACGAGGACATGCTTGCTTGGGGTAAAGAAGCAGGCCTTAAATCATTCGAACAAGTTAAAGATATTTATCTACACCCAGATCCATTTTCGGTACAAAATGGCCTTTTAACACCAACATTAAAAACTAAACGACCGCAACTCAAAGCCTACTTTAAGCCTCAAATTGATGATCTTTACAAAAATTTAGACTGATACGAAGAGTAAATTTAGATATTTTAGTTCGCCAGCTGTTGCATGGCATGAACGCAAGCAATCAAGTTGTTAATAGACGTTTGGTAACTTTTCGGTAAATTATCGTCATTTTACACAAATATATCTTGATAAAATATACTTTTTTCTTTCATTTAAGTTATCCTGCATAGCTGATAAGAAAAAAAAGTATTTTTGAGTCTGTTACACCTTGATAGAAGTTAAAAAATATTTATAATAATAATGTGATATAAAAGATGTTCTGTAATTGAAACTTTTACGTAGAAAATATTTAAATATTCTAGTTTTAAAAATATTGGTATGGAATAAATTAACAGAGGTTTCGTAGAAAATTAATGTTTATTCAAATACTTCTATGCACTTGATGCACCAATTTGCCTTGATATAAATCCATGTGAGTATAAAAATAAATTCAGCAAAATTTCCATTATACAAAACATTTAAACGATTTCATGATAGTAGGGTTGTGAATTACATTATTAAATTACGTGCATGCAAGATAGAAGATACTTTATTGATTCTCAATCTAATTAAAATTTATTTATACCCTGGAAACTCATTGTTCAACATTTACTGGTCATTTTCATCAAATCAATGATACAAATAAAAATGTAATATCTCAATTATATACACCATTTGAAATGCATTGAAATCAATAAGTACATGATAAATAAATTAAAGAATTTTCTATGCTTCAGTCAAGGTCAAATAGACTCATAAAAAACCAATAATAATCAAGCAATAAAAGAATGTCGAATATTTTCCAAAAATTACCAAATAAAATTGCAAATAAAAAACTTTTTTAAAAAATAGATTAAAATAATAAATTATGCAAGTTTATCACTTTTTTCCACAAATGTCTGCCTCACATGCTCTAGGCTCTTGTTCTTGTTCGTATATTTCATTTAAAAAAAAAACAATCCTTTTTGTTCTATTTTATTACATAATCTCTTATATATAATTTTCATATGTCAATATTATAGTAATGACTTCATTTTATGAAAATAACAAATTCAAATAAATCTTTACCAATTACATAAATCAATACTTTATTATATTTATCCTCATACTCTTCATATTATTTAAGTAAGCAACTCAACTATAAATGATAAATAAAAAGATACGATTATTTAACTAAACAACTTCTCTGTGCTTCAGCTAGTTGCCTTTATTATTTACAATATTTTATTTTAATAAATATTATTAACGAATTATTGAAGTTGTTAACAAAAATTGAATTAAATATTTTTGTTTAATAAAAATAAGAGAACAATTTTTTCATGTTTTTGTATCACAATTTTAATTTATGTACGAACAACATCAACAATAAATAAATACTTATCATAAATTTCCACCATTATATTATTTTTATAATTTATTATCCAAATTAATACGCGTTATTAATATTATCAACAAATCGGCACTTTATAGAGGTGATTTGGTATTAACATGAGATCTGTTATTTACCCAATCATAATTCAATTATACTATTTATCCTTTTTACTTTCCTCTATCTATGATTAATTAGCTGATGAATTTATTTATAAGCTGCTTATTAAATTAACTTTTCGATGTAAAGCTATAATATATTACAAAGCACCCTACGATCATGAGAACTAAAACAACAGCAGCAAGAATAAATCGTTGTTGAAGTGAACGAAGTATCATTCCTGATAGTAATCGTGAGCCTCTTCCAAGTTCAGCTTCTGTGTCTCTTAACTAAAAAAAATTTATTCATGAAAGTAAGGTATAATATGGTATTACTTATCATTCATTAATATTCAATATTATTAGCATTCTTTAGCTATTAATAAAAGCAAAAAAGCTACTCACTCTCGATCGACCTCTTTGAATTGTTTCTCTTTGATCATGAAGATCTTTAAGGACTTGAGATCCAATTTCTTCAGTTTCTAAAACCATCCTATAACCATTTTGAAGTGTTCTTCCAGTTCTTTCGATTCGTTCCGATGAGTCTAATAATCTTTTCCTTTGATCTTCCGTGACAACATTGTCCCAAGAATCATCAATGTTCAAGTCTATTGACACTTCATCTCGGGATTTTTTTGCAGATTGAAATTCTTTTGTCAATCTTTTCAGTTCCGCTCGATGACTTTCTACTCGACTTTTCAATCGCTCTCTTTGAGATCCGGAGGTTCCACGTACCTCCAGTTCCATTTGCTCCAGCTAAAAAATATTGTATTTATATTAGAGTTATTTACAATATTTATTTTATAACATTTTAAATAACTATAAAAAAATTAATGAATTTCTTTCATTAACATTTGCTATCCACTCTAGTGAATTTGCATTATTTCCAGATTCAGTGTTAAATTGATTAATTGATTGAAATGAATATTTTAAAATTATCACTGTGACTGAAATCGATCCTCAATTTTTTGTAGCTTCGAGTGATAGTTTTTTGCTTTCTCATCATGTTTAGTCATCAACCACAGTATTCAAAAATTGTTATTCATCATTAATAATGAATGAAGATTTACCAATTCCTGAGCTTCTTCCAATTGTCTATCCACATCTTGAATAAATGCCCTTTTTTCACCTGCAAATACGGCACGTGTATTGATTAGTATTGTAAATATGTGCCACCAGATAGCAGATCATTAATGTTCACTGACGTTGATTTGTTAAATTTCTTAAAAATGTAAATAAATTTTTAAAAAATTTATCCATCATTGTTAATCAAATAAAAGTACTTACCTCCATTTACTACTGATATTCTGCTAATTTTTGCAGTGATATCTGCTGTCAAAACAGCGTATTGTTGTTCATAGTTGTCAATAAGCGTCGCCATGTTCACTAATTTACTAATATTTTGAAGTAAGAGACGGCTCCAACAGAATGTGTTGATTCACATTTCTTTTGGAACCCACTTCCACTCTGTTTATTGACCAATAATAATGGCGCGAAAATATATTCAATTTTTACTCCACTTGTACATCACTACACAATGTTCAAAAAATTTTTAATGTTTAAAATAATTTAATTTTGCTATTGCAAAATAATTAATTTGTAAAAAAAAAAAAAAAAACATTCTAATTTATTAGAACTTTAAAATGAATAAAATCAGAGAAATGATAAAATAAAACGATTCAAATGAAGAACTAGGTGGCGTTAATGCTTTTAAGCTAAATATTATTGACCACAAAATACGGCGTTGGAATGAAATGAACACGTGGAAATAATTTATCATAATTTGAAAAAAAAAAATTTTTTAATTTATGTATAAACTCGATATTGAATCGAAATTTCCAGAAAACATCGAGATTTGCTTTCTTGTTAGCCAATTTTTTTTTCTCATTCATCATGTTTAAAAGCAAATGATAACATGTAGGAAAAATTGATGAAAAACTTGGAAAAAGTTTGAAATTTGAGATGAAAATCGAGATGGCGTTGTTCAAGACACGTCGAAGAAACTAAGCGAATGGGAAAGCCCTGGAGAATGATGATTAGCCAATGGATGGATAACAGGTAAAACGTGCGCGGCTTTTATGCTTTTGTATCAGTAAAAAAATAACCAGTTGAAAATGAAGATGGCGGCTGAGGTGAGGTGGCTTGGAGTATTTTTCGTTTTTTCGTTAATTTATAGTTTAAATGCTAACTCCGTACATAAAAGATTTGAATATAAATACTCCTTTAAACCACCTTATTTAGCGCAAAAAGATGGAACTGTGCCTTTTTGGGAATATGGTGGAAGTAAGTAATTATTTTTCATAACCAATATTGTACTTCCACGTAGTCACTAATGTTTACGAAATTGTATTGTTCTTCATTTGCGATTGTTTACTAAAATTAGTCCTTTTTTTTAATATTAAAAAACACTTTGTAATAGTAAGCAAAAAAATGAATTCGATTTTTAAAAATCTTTCTTTTAACACATTAAATATCGTAATAATTTGTTACCGTATGTTATTTGAATCATTTGATCAATGATCTATCCGTCAAAATTTTTTTTCCAACATTATCTAAATTTTTCCTAGTTATTATACTACAAATTAGATGATTAAAAATGTACTTTCATTAGTTTAAAGATTTCTTAAGTTCAATTTGATTAAATAATTGACTTGTTTAAGTCATGTTTAGTAATAAGTTCTATTAGAAATATTAACAATTTTACTCCAAAAAAATGTATTGAACAATATAAGTTATAAAATGATAAAAACTAAAATAAGTTATAAAATTTTTTTCATTTTTGTAACATATGTTATTGATAAATAATTTTTTTTTCTAGATGCAATTGCAAGTTCAGAAAATGTGCGAATTGCACCATCTCTTAGAAGCCAAAAAGGTAAAGCAATAATTAATATGCAAAAATTACTGTCTGTATAATAAATATAAAAATGAATTAACTTTTAAAATCTTCAATAGGTGCAATATGGACTAAAAATCCCATCAACTTTGATTGGTGGGAGGTCAATTTGGTATTTAGAGTGAGTGGCAGAGGTAGAATCGGAGCTGATGGTTTAGCTTTCTGGTATACTGCTCAAAAAGGTGCTTATGACGGAGCTGTTTTTGGAAGTTCTGATATGTGGAATGGACTTGGAATATTTTTTGATTCTTTTGATAATGATAATAAACATAATAATCCTTATATTATGGCTGTGGTTAACGATGGCACTAAAATATTTGATCATGCCAAGTAAGCAATTGATACAGCATTTTTGCTTTTGACGAATTACTAAAGCTCTCTTATTTAATTCAAGAACTTTATTAACTTAATTTATTTTTATTTCTATCAGTGATGGGACAACTCAATTACTTTCTGGATGTCTTAGAGACTTCAGAAATAAACCATTCCCGACAAGAGCGAAGATTGAATATTATCAAAATACTTTAACGGTATAAATTTGTATAAATTTTTTTTCGAAAGTTCAAATAATTTTATCGCACAATGTATATTTATTTTCTACTTACTTGCAGCTGTTCATTCATAATGGAATGACGAATAATGAGCAAGATTACGAAATGTGTTTCCATGTTGAAAATGTTTTCCTACCAAAAGGAGGATATTTTGGAGTTTCTGCAGCAACTGGTGGCCTTGCTGATGATCATGATGTTTTGCATTTCTTGACATCTTCATTACATCCACCTGGTCAGATGACTTTCGACAGTAGAACAGTATCTACGGAAGAACAAGCAAAGATTACTCAAGAATATCAGGATTATCAGAAAAAATTAGAGCTACAAAAGGAAGAATACAGAAAGTATGTTTTTATCGACTGATGATTCATTGTGTCCAGTTTTTATTTTGCAAATGTTCGAATTACTCACTTATTTAGTTTTCAATTGAAATCAATATTCATTTTATCTTTTAATTTTAAGAATTTAAACTATACATTTTTTTTTTATTTTATTTTAGGGAACATCCTGATGAAGTTCGTCATGATAAAGAGGAATTTGATGAATGGTTTGAATCAGACAATCAGCGAGAACTTCGTCAAATTTTCGGTGGTCAGAGTCAGATCTTTGACGTATTACGTGAATTGAAACATAAAACAGATGAAATAGTTGGAAAACTTGAACGAGTTATGAGCTTAGTTTCGCAAGTACAAGTCGGTGGCATCCAACCAGGAGTAACTGGAGGCCAGCCAATTCAGATGATTGACACAATTAGAAGGCAAGAAGTTGATGCAGTACTTAGCAATCAAAATATTATTTTAAATACGGCTCGAGAGATCAAATCATTTATTGGTGATGTCAACTCTAAAGCTGAATCAATTTTAAACAATCAAGCTCGAGGTCCAACAGCTCAAGTTCAACCCATTGGTTATGATTACCAATCTCTGATAACAGAAATGAGGGAAGGACTCAATCACCTTAAGAAAGATGTGTCAGCAACAAATGCTAAGCTCACAGGTTTTGGAGGAGTACCTGGAGCATGTCCAACAACAAGTTGTCTAACAACGACAATATTTTTAATTTTCTTAGTTGTTCAATTAATTATAATACTTGGGTACAATTTATACAGGGATAATAAAGAAGCTCAGGCCAAGAAGTTTTATTAAATTTCATCAATTTGTTAATTAACTTGAAAGTCGAGCTATTATAAATACATTGTAATTCATTACAGTTTGCTAATGATTGGATAAATGAATAGAATTTTTTGAAATTTTGTATTGTGGGAAAAATGTATCTACATATTTATTTATTTGAAATTGAAAATGTGAAGAAAAGAGGAGTATTGATAAACATTTTTTTATAATAAAAATCATAGTAAAAATATGAAAAACTCAAAGATATCTTTTTTTTTTGGTAGTTTTATATTTTTGTACAACTATTAACAGCATTCCTGTAGATCTACTTCATCATTTTTTTATATTCAAAGTATTTTATGTGGACTACAATCAATAATGTTCAAAAATCTTATTTCTGATCATTTTATGAAATTACTTTTAAAGAAATATACAGGTTTAAGTAAATTATAAAATAAAATAAAATAAATATTGGCAAAAGAACAAATTACTTAGTATGAGTGAATTTTGAAATTGTTGAGAGCAGAAAATTTGTGTTTTTATTTATTCTTATTGTTTTAGATTTTTTATATTCTTCCAATCACTGAAATGGTGTATTCTAAAATGTGTATGTAAATTAATTAAATATTTGAAAAATTAACAACAAATCGGTATATTAATAAGAAACCTTAAAGAAAATTATCCGTTAATTGTCATTTGTGATGAATAAAAATGAGAAAATTTTGTCCATATTTCATCGCATTTATGAGAGTTTATTAAAAATATTATTGTATAAATAAGTAAATGTATAATATACGTATAGTAATTTAAAATAACTTTTGAACAATAAAAACGAATTAAAAAATCAATTGAATTCTATGCTATTTTTTATATGTCATTATTAATACCTCAAGAATCAACCTCTATGATTCTTGATTTTTAATTCAATATCTAAATGATGTAATTTATTTTCTCTAAATAATTATTAATATTTATAAAGGTTGTACAATTTTGCAATTTTAGTGCTAATAAATGAAAATAATTTTTTAGTATCTATACTTTTATACACATAGATAGTAGTACAAATGTAATCGTAAATCGTATAAATTAAATGCCCTTCTGGCTGGGCAGAGTCAAGTGACATTTTAAGCATTTGTGGGGTCAAAATTGATATATATGGAAGACAAGAGAATGAATTGCACTCCAGTATCGACTATTCCCACGAGATTCAATTGTAATCAACGATAAATTACTCGACAATGCTTTTCAGCTAATGGACCACCGTTAATTCACGTATTTCTCGGCTTTTCTGTTAATTGTCAACTTCAACAAGTCTGTATGGTATTTATTAATATAACTAATTTGCATGAGATTTATTCTAACTATAAGGAATTATAAAATCGTTTGTATTTTTGCAATTAAAGTGACAATTAGCTGAGTCTCGAGAAAATCTGTCAATGTTCTCAGAAGTAATGAGTTATATCAATAAGAGATGTTTGCATTTAGGATGAGACATAAAATACCAGAAAAATTATCTCAAAATTGTTATATTTTTTTATATATTCGTATAATTTATTGGAGATATAGAAAAAAAGTTAATAAAAATGTGTGAAAATGGAACTTTTTATAAATAAAATTAATGAACTTTGACATTATCCTCCACTGATGATATTTAAAAAAGAAGTTTAACAAGAATTGAATAATGAATTTAAATAGAAATTTGAAGTTTATTCGTTTGCTTTTTATTGATGGAATTGTAGTTAAAACTGAGAAAAATTCTATCTATAAAACATTGCAATAATAACAGAATCACTGAAAATTTTCTTATCAATGAAAATATTAATAGATAGAAATTATGTAACAAAAATTGAAGAGAATAATTTATTATATTTGGGATGATTTTATGGTAACATTACAGAGTTTCGCATAACTAATCAATTCTGTTAAGATAAAAAAAATTTCTACTTCTAAAATAAACTTTAACCAAATACAGTAAAATTTTATTTTAATATTCTAAACATTTTTATATCTCATTGACGGCTTGTTAATGGTTAATAGAGATTTTTAAATATGCCCTCATTCACTGAAAGAGCGATATTCTTAGACAAAAAATAATTTGTGCGTGATTGATGGATTAATTAATTCTCGCTTATTAATATTTGAATTAGGTATAAAAATATATGAATTTAGAAAGGCCTTTTTTGTAAAATCAATCACGACTGAAGATAAGATGGTTATAAATATCGTGATTATGATGTTGGAGAATAGAAACAGGATTGAGTCAGAATGATGGCAGACTGGTCATCATTGATCCTGCCACCAGTCTGTTTCGATTTAAATAGATACTTAAATTATTTCTAAATTAGATCAACGTCGTAAAAATTCAGTTTCGCGGTCTAGAATCGGAAACTTTTGATTTTTTTTTTTATATAATAAATTAAAACTTGAGTCAAGAAGAGTAATTTTATATTCAATAATATTATAATCATGTATAAATGTCTTCTTGATGTAAAAATATCAGTTTTCTCGTGTTGATGAATAACTTTAAAAAAATTGCTAATCAGTTGATATAATATCAAAACAATAAATATATTTTATTCTTCCAATATTTTAGGTCAAAAGTCGTTACTGTGCTGTTAAATGAAATATATTTTTTTACTTTATCAATATACATTTTTTTAATTTTACATTATGATTTCAAAATAAGACATATATCCAAACTGCAGCAGCCATTGCAGTTAAATTCGCATTCTGAGGGAAGTTACAACCCTCTGGAGAACATTCGGACCAATGGAATGTAGAGATTACGAAGCGCAGAATCCGCAACATTCACCCTCGAGTGTAAAACATTCACTGCTATTGGTAAACAGTTTCAGCCAATCGTTGGCTCTTGTGATATTGATCTCGACACGAGCGTAATGTTGAAACTTTTTTATTACTGTAGTTGTAAAAATGTTTTATTGCCCGTGAGCCAGATACGACGCCATTCAGTCGTCTGAGATATTGAAATTGTCGGCGAAATGGCGAACAATCCGATGTTACTCTAAATTATCTTTTATAAAGATATAAATAAAAAACTGTTCAACAATTTTACAACTTTTCTCAATAAAATGTTGGGATTTGAAAAAACAATTCAAGTGGAAACATAACTTGATTATCAAAGCAGATTTTTTAATTAATGTTAATAAAACATTTAAAATCGTTGCAATTAAATGAATAGAAAGAATAAATTTTAAAAAATATTAGATCGATTGTAATAATTTTCTTTTTGAATAAAAGGGGCAAGACAAATGATCTGCTAAGATGAAAATTGAGTAACATAAATGTTATTATTTTGATAAGCGAATAGTTTGAATGGTTTAGGGGTTAAATGGAATCAAAATGGCCTGAAATAACAATTTATAGAAAAATTAATAGCACTTAGTTGGACAAATATAAAAAAAAATTACTTTCCACCCTTCATAAAGAATAACAAAAACTCTCTGAGAAAGTAAAACAGTCGATGGTTTTTTACTATTCCCTGTTTAAAAAAAAGAAAAAACATGTAATGGAGGATTTTAAATTAATAAAAAAAAAATAACAACAATAAAATGAATTTTGATGAGATAGAGATATATCAGTAATTGATTAATTTGATTAGTTACAAGTGAAGCAATATTCATGTCTGAAATCACAAAATCGGCAATTGGATACGCCTGAACATCAAGAATGAAATATGGACATCGTAGTACGGTACAGAAGCAGTATTTTTACGATGTGCAACCATATCATGATATGAGATTCGAATTGGCGTCTACATTTAATCGAGGGTTAGCAATTCAAGTATCTTTTCGGTGCTTCATGGATCCTCCCCTTGTCGAAGTAATGAATGAACATGTGAGAGAATATTTATAAGAATAGGAATAAATTTTAAACTTTCGGTATGCATTTCTCTAAAGGCTGTTTAAATTTGCTGAATGATAAATGACTTTTACGAGGGTGGTATTCCAAAGAAATTAGCTGATTAATTTATTATTAATTTTTTGAAAATTATTATGTGGGCATGATTTTACAAAAATTTATTTATATTTGATGATATAGATTGATTTACAAAAATCTCATGAATAAAAGACAACATTTTGTGATGATAAAACTCAGAAATATATCAAAAAATTAGGGGTTCACGAGTTCGTAAATATTGAGGAAACAAGGAAAGAAGTGAATTTTGATTTAGGGTTTTCTGGTTTTCACTTTGGAAAATTTGGGAGATATGATGGTACAGGCGATTTAGCCGATCGACGGGTGCACGACTGATCGAATTGATTAAAAGACTTTCTCGATTGATCATTTTTCATATCCCTCTTTGCTTCGGTTAGTTGGGGACTGGGGATTTTACTTAAGTGTCACGTGTTTGAAATGAATTCTAGTAGATTTGTTGAAGATACAAACCGGCTTACTTCGATCGTAAAATGCTTGTGTTATATTTCAATGTTATCAGTTATTTAATCTGAATTGTTAACTGAATATAATCAATATTGGTCAACAATTTTATTAAGATGATTCTTTAATACAATAGTTTATTAATTAATATTGGACATAGTTTTTTTAATATAAAAAAATCATTCATGAAAATTAGTTGACAATAGTTTGAATAATAAAACCTTATTATTATAAAAGTACATGTGTTAATGCATAAGAGAATATTGAGATTAATTTTTAAATGATTGAAGTAATGTCGTACTGAAAGTTTTGTAGACTTTTAATAATTTTCAAATATTGAAAAAAACAAACTGAGGATTGAAAAAAGAAGTTTAATCATTCAGTGATTTCTTTTAAATTAAAAAAATTAATTTTATGGTAACAAAAATTCGATTTCTTTTAAAAATTTATCATCAAAGTATGACAATTATATAACGTAATTATCAGAATTTTTTATTTTAATTAAAACCACGTAACTTTTATTGTTATAATAATATTTATCATAATTTATTATAATATCTACTTGAAATTTTTGTTTTTAACATGGTAACATTGTTTATTTATTAAAAAAAAAATTTAATTCCAATAAGCTTCCTCATTATGTCAGTAAAATTGTCAAAAAAACCACTGTCAAAGTATTTAAAAGGTATGCATTGTATTTTTCCTGATAGCAACAGAATAATTCTGCGAAATATGTCGAGATTTCTACGAATTTATTAGAGCCACTAGACAAAAATAAAACATCGAGTCGACACAATAAAAATAAAAGATTAACATTCTTCCGTGGTGAATTTT